TGTAAGGGTCACATTTGGTGGGTAATGGAACACATTGCAAGGTGTTCTGTGAGCCTAAGATTTTGTGTAGATCATCAGTGAGTATTTTCCTCTCTATTTCAAACAGAAGTTACTGAACAGAATGCGTCAGTGTGGACAATGACACCCTGTTCGTTGTCAAAAATCTTACCTGTAGCTGCTTCTGTATTTTAACGAAAGCTGTGGTGGGTGAAAGCTCCAAGGTCTATTTTATAGGTCAGTTCTGGGAAAAAGCAAAGTGGTGGTGAGCGAGGAAGAGCAAGAATAAAAAGTCAGATTGGGAGTAACACTTTTTGGGCTTGAGGGGCAGGTTTTGTTATGTAACATCCCCAAAGCTGCTTGGAGGAACTGCTGTAGAACTGCACGCACTAAGCCAACCACTGACACCTGGGCCATGGAAGAAAGTAGTGCATTTACCAAGCACAGAGCAAGGAGCCTGGCAGCCAGTGCTCAATTCCTGCACTCCCTGAGGGATTGGAGGGGGTGAATCTTGCAGCTGAAAGTCAGGGGTGAGCAGCATGTGATCGGTTCACGTGTGGGCCTCCGGCTTGTCCACAGTGCACATGGCCTTTCTTGGATTGGTCAGTGGTGGGGCCAGTGTGTTTCCTCCAGCCTGTCTGGGTCTAGCTGGGGACTGGTAATTATTTTGTTTGGGCCTAGGAGCTTCTGCAGAGCTCTCAGAATGGAGACTCGCATTGCGATGCTAACTGTGTTAACTTGAGGAGCGATTCAGGTCTTCAGAAAAGCCTTCAGCGGTTATCCATGAACTAGAAATAGGCATGGGATTTCCACAAAGACTGCCCCATCTCCCCCACCTCCCTTTCCCCCATGGCCATCCCCGATTCACTTATCCCTCTGTCTCCCACAAGGCAGAGAAGCCAGCTAGACTGTCTTCCCCCAAGTTCCCCCAGTAACCGCCCTTCCCTGACAAGCACCTCTGCCCGCTCCTTTCTCCTGGAGTCCCTGTTGCCCTCTCACTCCTTCTCATGTGTCATCCTGACCCCACTTGGACCTCCTCCCTCTGCGAAGTCTTCCCCGAGCCCGCTTTTCCCCTGGCTGTGCTGCCCAGGGCAGCTCTCCAGCCCGTCTGTCAGGGGGTATCCTCATCACAGCCCTGTGCTAGAGACAAATTGGGTCATTTCTGGGGAGCCACAGCCTGTCCTCGGCAGCATTCTGCTGGCTCACCGTGGCCGGGAGAAAAGCAGCGCAGGTGCTGTCAGTAGCCTCAGAGGACGGTTGTGGGGGGAGGCTCTGGCCAGCAGGTGAGGGAGGATTCAGGATCCTGTGGCCTACTTAGCTCTTCTGTTAGCGGGTGGCTCAGTCAGAATGAAGGCCACTCTGCCCGAGAACTCTGTTGGAGAAAACCTCAGCTTGAATGTCTTTCTCCTCGGCCTCTTGGTACGGGAAAAGAGGAAAGAGAGGCAGACACTAATACCACCATGGCTGTGTAGTCCACAGACCCTGGCAGGCGCTGGAAGTCGATAATCGCATCGCATTCTTGCAAGGACCTGAGGTCAGTGTCAGCGGAGATGGCTGAACTTCCTGTAAGAAAAGAATTTCAGAGATGAGATACAGAGGAGTGGGAAGTAAGGTAGCAAAGTTTCATGAAGTAGAGCATCCGTCAGAATGATACACGCTTCCCCAAACGGATCTGAGAGTCTGCAAAGGAACAAAGGTGTGTGTTTGGCGGTTTTCTCTTCTGTATTTTGTAACAGGCAGAGTGGACAGTGAGAGAGAGAGACAGAGAGAAAGGTCTTCCTTTTGCCGCTGGTTCACCCTCCAATGGCCGCCGCAGCCAGTGCGCTGCGGCTGGCACACCGCGCTGATCCGATGGCAGGAGCCAGGTGCTTCTCCTGGTCTCCCATGGGGTGCAGGGCCCAAGCACTTGGGCCATCCTCCACTGTACTCCCTGGCCACAGCAGAGAGCTGGCCTGGAAGAGGGGCAACCGGGACAGAATCCGGTGCCCCGACCGGGACTAGAACCCGGTGTGCCGGCACCGCAAGGCGGAGGATTAGCCTAGTGAGCCGCGGCGCCGCAGGTGTTGTTGTTTTTAAAGATGCGTTTGTTTACTCAAAAGGTAGGGTTACAAAGAGAGAGGTAGAGCGATGGGGGGGGGGGGGGATCCATCTTCCATCTGCTGGTTCATTCCCCAAATGGTGGCAATGACCAAGATTGGGCCAGACTGAAGCCAGGAGCCAGAAACTCCATCCAGGTCTCCCTTGTAGGTAGCAGAGACCCAAGCACTTAGGCCATCTTCTATTTCATTCCCAGGTGCATTAGCAGAGAGCTAGATCAGAAGTGGAGCAGCCGGGATTCAAACCAGCACTCACATGAGATGCTGGCATGGCAGGCTGCAGCTTAATCCACTGTGTCACAACACTGGCCTCAGTAACAAAGTTTAATGAATGGGATACACCGGACAAGACAGGTGGCATCTCAGCAAAGAACTGATATTTGAGAGCCCATTTCAACTGGGGCTTATAAGACATGTCTTCCTGCCTCTCCCCTCCCCTTTTGGATGAAGGGTTTGCTGGGTGTGCAATAGGTAAAATTTCTCCCATAGTTTTATTACCAAGGGTCATCAGACTGGTGGGCAGAGAGGATTCTCCTGGGGTACTTTCTTAGTGGGGAAGGTTGGGACCACCTATAAAGTTATTTGGGTAGGGGCTGGACTTTGTAGTGTAAATACTAGGCTGCTTCCAAGGCATGCTCATGTATAGGCTGATTTCTGTCTTCCTACCTAACATGACACTAATCACAGACATGACAGTGGAGGTGCCACAAACCTGCCAAGCAGCAGATGGGGATAATCGCATTAGTGATGAGGTTAGCACAGTGGGAACCTTCTTGTCTGTAGGGGGAGTAGTTTCAAGCCCAGTGGATGCTTGAAACCTTGGGTATTACCAAGCCCTACACACACACACACACACACACACACACACACACATACCACATTTCCCCTTATGTGTATGTATAGTACAGCATGGCCACACTGGTCAAAGGATGAGTCACCTTCCAGGTGGGACAGGGCAGGGCAGCACAAGATTTTATAATGCTGCTCAGAATGTCATGCAGTTTAAACCTTATGAATTGCTTATATCTGGAATTTTCCAATCAGTATTTTCAGATGGTGGGTGCCCATGGGTAAATGTAACTGTGGAAAGCGAAGCCACAAATAAGGGAGACTGCTGTGCCACTGTTGTCCCCAGGCATAGCTAAGGAAGGAAACCAAAGTTCAGAGGGAGTAAAACAACCTGTCCGATATTCGATTTTACTTTGAACCCAGTTGTATAGGAGTCCAAAGCCTGTAGGTGTTTTTGGGTTTTGTTTTTAATCCGGTCTACACCAGTGATTTTCAAAGTATGGTGCTTCAGAGGAGTAGCATCAGCATATCCTGGAAATGTTTCAGAAATGTAAGTCTTGGGGCTGGTGCTATGGCTTAGTAGGCTAAGCCTCTGCCTGCAGTGCTGGCATCCCATATGGGCACCAGCTCGTGTCCTGGCTGCTCCTCTCCTGATCCAGCTGTCTACTGTGGCCTGGGAAAGCAGTGGAAGATGGCCCAAGTGCTTGGACCCCTATATCCACATGGGAGACCTAGAAGAAACTCCTGGCTCCTGGCTTTGGACTGGCCCAGCTCCAGCCATTGCAGTCATTCAGGGAGTGAACCAACAGATGAAAGACCTTACGCTCTGTCTCTCCTCCCTGTCTGTAACTCTACCTCTCAAATAAATAAATAAAATCTTTTTATAAAAAATGTGAGTCTTTGGACCTCACCTAAGTCCTGCTGAATCAGAGACTCCTGGAGTAGGGCGCAGAGATCGGGGCTGTCACAGCCATTGCTGGTAACAGACATTCAAGTTTGAGTCCTACTGCCCTCCACACTAAAACTCCCACAAGAGGACTCTCGAAACTTGGCCTAGAAGCCATACTAACCCAGGAATGTTCCAAGATGCTAATTAGATATGGCCCCTGGCTGTGCCAAAGTCCCACCTGATATTTCTGTGCCACCTGTTTCCTCATCAATGCGCACCTAGAGCTTTATGCCCATAGGCTTGGAAAGTATAAGGGAATTTTACAAGGTGCTCGTAACTCTGAACTCCCTCAAGTCCTTGACATACAGTTTGTTACCACCCACTCATTTTTTTTGTTGTTGTTGGATTTGCTCTGTGCTTATGTTGGCTGCCTGTCCTGCCAAATTTTCTCTGGTTAATGTATTCTTGATCATTCATTACATCATTTAACAAATACTTATCGGGCATCAAGTATGTGGCAGGCATGGTACAAGGTGCTTGTATTTGAACAGTAAGTTAGAGATAAGCCCAGGGTACCTTCTTGGAGCCTGCAGCGAGCAGACCATTGGCATGCAGTGAGAAAAGTGCTGCCTGCCCGTGGGTAGGAAAAGGCACTTTGAGGAAACAGGAGGCAGTGTGGGGAGGTGAGGGTGCAGCTGAGGGCCCATGGGATAGAGAGTGATTCGCCAGGGGAAGAGTAGAGTCGTGGCAGGTGATATGGCCCAGGGCAGCAGGCTGGGAGAACCACACAGGAGCAGAGAAGAGGTGATCCCAATACAAGAAGAATGGACCCATTTTCAGAATGGCTGAAGCCTTGAGTGGGGGTGGGGCATGAGAGGAAGTGGCACAGTGGGCCTCATCGCCCTAGTAACGGAGCTTGAACTTTATCCTTAGGGAAACAGGAAACCACGTGCAGAATAGAAGTGCCATGAGGAGTAGGACGGAGTAGCAGGGTCACTCCAGGACATATGCAGGTTTATTTTCATACAGTCGTTCTGTCGTTGGATGTGTCATTTCTGTCGGAAGACTTCAGGCTCTGCGGAGTTGTCTTTCCTTCTCCTTTCCCCATACCAGCCCCAGGGCGCTGAGGGCACCCTGCACCTGCTCCGTTCCCAGGCCGCAGAATGTGGGAGGCTCTGCCTTTGAGTGTGTTTTGCTCATTTGCCTCACTTTTATTACCTGGCGAACAGAAGTGAGTCACCTTCAGCAATGTCTCCTGCCCTTGCTGCAGGCTGTCTGTCCTTGCTGGTGACGGTGCAGCACACAGAACGCTACGTCACCCTGTTTGCCTCCGTCGTCCTCAAATGTGACTACACCACCTCCGCCCAGCTCCAGGACGTGGTGGTGACGTGGCGCTTCAAGTCCTTCTGCAAGGATCCCATCTTTGACTACTACTCTGCCTGTGAGTGCCTCCCCTGCTCGCTGTCTCTGGGTTGCTGGCCCTGCTGTGCATCACTGTGGTTACAGGTTAGGAGTTCCTTAGGATCACAAAGCTTGGGATGAGAAGAAGCCACAAAGATCACCCGACGCGGTCCCCACACTTTGTAGATAAACAAACTTGAGCTCAAGCCGATGAAGGAATTTGTTCAAGTTCATTGTAAAGTTTTTGTCTCACCTGGTTCTAAAAAGGTTTAAGGCAGCCCTGCCCCCTTGTGCTTTCCCAATCCCAGCTGAGTGGATGCTGCTTCTGGGAGCTTAGCCGGCGTTCCTGGTGGGTGGTCAGGGCTTGGCTGCCTAAGTGCCCTCGGTGGCCAGAGCTCACTGCCCACAACAGCCCGTTCCCTGCTGGGCTCTCCTAGTTTTGGACACATCCTCCTGTGTTTAGCACATCTTACCTTGTGGCAACAGCCGACCCACTCCTGCCAGCCCGGAGTTCTTCCCTGCCTGCCCACTTTTGTATTCTCTCAAAGAACCAAAGAGCCCAGAACCCACTGTCAGCCCAGGACAGTTCATCGTTGAGAAGTTTTGAGCATAGAAGTAGACACCCTGCTTGGAGGAAGGAAGTGAGCTTCCTGAGATGAGGCAAAGTGGGCAGGGAGACATCAGCCTCACTCTTTTTAGCCCTGGGGCCAGTGTCTCAGAATGATGTCAGTAGAACCACAAAAGCTGACTGCCTGAGCCTCTGAGCCTGAAGCCATCTCCAACAGACTCCTCTATAAATCCAGGCATTGTGTCTTGTGGGTTTCTCTTAAATGCCTGGGTTAAGTGGGAAGGGAGGAGACTGAAGTGGCAGGCCTCAGCCACCGGCATACGCAACAGCTCTCAAACCTTCTATTGTCAGGACAGGTGGATGAACTCCAGGGCCTGAGGGTCAGAGTGGGTACTTTTAAAATGGGACATGGGGAGCTGAGATGGAAAACTGGGGACACAGCCCTGACTTGGAAGTAACGGCCTATTGGGTCTGGAGTCTTGTTGTTCACAGTAAGGAGCTGGTTAGAAATCAGAATCAGCTCTAGACCTGCGGAACCAGAGCGCTCTGGGTGACTCGGGTGTGTCCCCTCTCCGCAGCTTACCAGGCAGCCTTGTCCCTGGGCCAGGACCCATCGAACGACTGCAATGACAGCCAGCGGGAAGTTCGCATCGTGGCCCAGAGGCGGGGGCAGAACGAGCCAGTGCTGGGGGTGGATTACCGGCAGCGCAAGATCACCATCCAGAACCGTGAGTGCACAGGAGGGAGGTGAAGACGGCGGGCCTGGTGGGCTGAGTCAGCAGGGATTTCCCAGTTTTCTCTCTGCTGCCTGATGGTCTACTTGGCCATTGGCATGATTTGAGGCAAGTTCCGGATCACAGCGTGTACTGCACTGTCTGATGTTGCATCCCCGGAATGTCCCAGAAGATACCCCACAGCTCCAGCCTAAGGCTGGCTGTGGCTGGTTTCCTCTGCTTTCCTGAGATTCAGGCTGAAGTGTGCATCCAGTTCTTTTGTCCTTTCTGTAAACTGCTCTCAGGATCTACTCAAACTGCAGGTCCCTGAGTTCTCCTCTGGCCATATCGTTGCCCAGCCGTAAGGAGACAGAGGTTTCTGAGTAGGTGGCCACCTTAAGACCGCTGCCCTCCATTGGTAGAGGCAAGAGCACTGGTCTTGGAATAAGAAGCCCTGAGAGAGGCCCCGTGCAGCCATCCACTCACCAGCTTGGGGACCAGTGGTCAGTTATTTTCTCTGGCTTTTGTTTCCTCTTCTGAAATATGGGGATTGTGGTATCTGCCCTCCCCACACTAAAGTGAGTATCAAATGTCAGGCGTAAGAGCTGTATCTAAAGCATATCTGGGGGCCTGCACTGTGGCATAGTGGGTATAGCTGCTGCCATATGGGCACCAGTTTGAGTCCCGGCTGTTCCACTTCTGATCCAGCTCTCTGCTATGGCCTGGGAAAGTAGAGGAAGAAGCCAAGTCCTGGCTCCTGGCTTCGGATCAGCACAGCTCTGGCCTTTGTGGCCACCTGGGGAGTGAGCCAGTGGATGGAAGACCTCTCTCTCTCTCTCTGCCTCTGTCTCTGCCTTTCAAATAAATAAATAAATATTTTAAAAAAATAATAAACATATCTGTCCTTTGTGCCTGGCAGAGGCAGTAGTGGTGAGAGCCCTTGCAGCCAGACTCAGGTGTGGAACCCCCATTCTGTACTTCCAGGTGCAGAATTTCTGTAACATGGGACCTGTTAAAATACCTGTGTCATGGAGAGGTGTGAGGACCAAGTGAGGTAGTATGGGACCAACAGTGAGTGTGCAGTGAATGTTAGCACTCAGCACACCTTGATGAATGGTTAGCTCCTCGCATTCCTGTCTTGTAATGCAGGATTGCTGTGCAGGGGTTATTGGCCCAGGATTCAGAGCCTGCTTCAGTGAGCTTACGTGCTATGATTGTATGCTGTGTGCCCATAGCTACAATATGAGGAAACCAGTGACCATGCTGTGACTGCTGGAAGACAGATCACTGAAAGGGAGCCAGTTTAACAACTACACCCAGCTTGGTCTGTAATACTGAGGCCCTAGCCTTTTACACTCAGCTGCTGATCTTCCCAGCCAACCACTGGCTGCTTGGCTTAGAGAACACCTGTCCTTTTCCAGTCTCTAGATGGCTCTGCTTGTCCCAGACACCCCAGAAGTTGTTCTGATCTGACCCTGCCTTGTAAAGCCTTCTTAGTTAGCTATTTTCTTGCACAGTCTTTAAAGGAGGCAAGGCCTCTGCTTTCTGTTTTCTCTAACTTTTGAGCTGTATCTTTCACTACCTCCATGCCCAGCAGTCTTGGATCAAACCCTGCCTCTGTCTCACTCCTACAAGAAAGCAATATTTCTCACTGGGTTGTATTTCTACATCCAGACGTGCGACTTCCTGAAGCCCTGTTTCTGACACCCGTATGCCTGTGTTTGTATCACTTGAGATGGCCCTGTCAGATCCATTTTTGGATCCTTTAAAATATGAACATATCTAATGTCCTTGTTACTCTGGCAACCCTAAAATATTCTTTACGTCCCCAATAAAAATGGGGTCAGACTACAGTTTGCATCAAGCTTTGAAGGGAACCTACTCCAGGGCACTTGTATCATCATTCTTTTTCCAAGTCTGGGGTAAGCTTTCTGGCAAAGGTAATGGGTTTGGAAAATTGTAAGTAGGAAAAAAAGCACAGGGATTGACGTAGAAAGGGAAGGAAACAGAAGTCAGAATTAGCTCTAGTGTCGTGTGACCTTGCGTTTTTGTTTCATTTCCTCCATAAATATTTCTTGACAAACAGATAAGAATGCATTGCAGATAAAACAACCAGGTAGCCAGGACCCAGTACATAATGCGAAGCCCTATAAGAGTCCGAGGATGTCCCCTGGCACACACTGTGGGTGAGAGAGCAGGTGCTACTATGGCATGGAGACCTGGAGCCTGCTCTGCTGCCTCTGACAGCGTTTAAAGCTCACCCAGGACAGAAAAGATCTTGTTCCTCTCCAGATTTCCCACGGTGCCAGACATCTGGTGGGCCCACAGAGGTTCTTCATTGAGCATCTGTTGAATTTGCTAAACTTGAACACATGTGTTAACCATTTATCTACCTTTTTTGAAAGTTTTATGTGTGTGAGACTTTTTTAAAAGATGTATTTGTTTATCTGAAAGGCAGAGAGAAACAGAGAGACAAAGGAAGAAAGATCTTCCATTCATTGGTTCACTCCCCACATAACAGCAACAGCTGGGGCTGGGGCCAGCTGAAGCCAGGACTCAGGGACCCCCTCTCCCTCTCCTTCTCCCTCTCCCCCGCCTCCCCCTCCCCAGTGGGTGTAGGGGCCCAAGTACTCGGTCCATCTTCCACTGCTTTCTCAGGCACATTAGCAGGAAGTGGGATCAAAAGTGAAGCAACCTTTGGCCGGCGCCACGGCTCACTAGGCTAATCCTCCGCCTACAGTGCCGGCACCCGGATTCTAGTCCCGGTCAGGGTGCTGGATTCTGTCCCGGTTGCCCCTCTTCCAGGCCAGCTCTCTGCTGTGGCCCGGAAGTGCAGTGGAGGATGGCCCAAGTGCTTGGGCCCTGCACCCGCATGGGAGACCAGGAGAAGAACCTGGCTCCTGGCTTCAGATCGGTGGGCACACCGGCCGCAGCGCGCCGGCCGTAGTGGCCATTTGTGGGGTGAACCAACGGAAGGAAGACCTTTCTCTGTCTCTCTCTCTCACTGTCTAACTCTGCCTGTCAAAAAAAAAAAAAAAAAAAAAGGAGCAACCTTAAACTGGCAGTCTGATGTGGGATGATGGCATTGCAAGTGGTGGCTTAACCTGTTGTACCCTGTGCCGGCCTGTGTTCTGCGTTCATCTAGTGCAGCACTCCGTGCTCACAAGAACAGGAATGCTTTCCTTGGATTCCATCTACTCATTAAATATCATCATTTCATCCTTACATATTCAAGTTTATCTCATCACCTGTCCCTTCGAGTCCCACAGGTATTTGTCCTTCTTAGGCTAATAAGGGGACTAGGGTGTGAACTTTTCCACTCAGTGTGGACAGGACAGTAAAGTTGAGTGGTTCAGAGTGTGGACCTTGACACAGAAAGGCATAGGTTCCAACCACCTCTGCTGAGCACTGTCTGTGTGTTATCAGGCCAGTTCCTTCACTTCCTTGGGTCTTGATTTTCCTCATCGGAAATGCAGCTGATGATCATACTGTATCAGGATTGAGCTTGATTGCCAGCAAACAATAGCCTAAAATATTAGCGATTTAAGCAGCAGAGAAGTTAATTTGTCTCATGCATAACATCAGAGATGTTCAGTCCAGCTGTTTGGTTCCGTTAAGTCCTTAGGGAGTCAGCAGTCTCCAGCTCACCAAGCATGTCTTGGGCTTCCTTGTGGTCCGGGATGGCAGCTGTCACTTTTGCTTTGCAGGAAACCGAGTAGAAGCAGAGTTGAGGAAGGAAGGGCTATGGTGTTCACGAGCTGCTTTTAAGAAAGTTCCTTGGGTCCACTATGTGACACGTCTGTTTACATTCTGTTGCTTACTTGTCTTCTCAAAAAGGTGGTGTGAAATAATGACTTTATTTAGATGGCTGTGTACATAGGCAGAAGTTCTGTGACCACGGGAGAAGAGAAAATACACACCGGGAGTAACTAGTAATTTCCACCTGACCCGCTTGTCGGATTGCGGTAGGAAGTAAAGGAGGCGAAGTCTTGACAGAGAACCTAGTGAGACTCTACAGATAGTCCGTCTCCTGTTTGGAGAAAGAGGAAAGTCAGAAGAAGGAACTTCCTGTGACCCACCAGGGGCCTTCTCAGGATACAGAGAATAATGCTGGGGGCCTGAAGTGACCAGGGTCAGAAACCAGCGGCCTCCCCTTTAACCACTGGTGCTTTCTTTCTCCATTCTGTGCAGGAGCTGACCTTGTGATTAATGAAGTGATGTGGTGGGACCACGGCGTGTATTACTGCACCATTGAGGCTCCGGGAGACACATCTGGAGACCCCGATAAGGAGGTGAAGCTCATTGTCCTGCGTAAGTGCTTCCGGAACCTTCTGCTTGGCCACCCCACTGCTGTAACCTGGTTACAGGGAAAAGCCAAAAACACAGCATTGGATCATGAACCTCTGAAGTTCCCCTGTCAAAGCTCAACATTTTTTGCTCGTATATTGCTTGACATTAACCTGAAGGTCAAGAGCTATTTACTAGACCTCTAGAATGTTCTAGAAGCATTCCCTGGGGATCTTCAGTTCACCCATGCCCCGATTCTCCCCTGCAGACTGGCTGACGGTGATCTTCATCATCCTGGGAGCCCTCCTCCTTCTGACGCTGATTGGCGTGTGCTGGTGCCAGTGCTGCCCTCAGTACTGCTGCTGCTATATCCGCTGCCCCTGCTGTCCCACCCGCTGCTGCTGCCCCGAGGAAGGTGAGAGGGAGAGGATGGTATTAGGGCCCCGTGCCCCGAGCAGATTGGCTTCCAGTGCCCAGGGCAAAGTTTTGCCAGGTTCTCCCCCCGGGTTTGCCTCTGTCCTGAAAATGATACTTGGGGACACTGTGGAGCCACACAGGAGGTGGCAGGTAGGAGGACATCTGCCTGTCCACCTTCTAGGCTGCCTAAAGTCTCCTTCAGAGAGCTCTGCCTACGGCTGGTGTTGCCTTCGTGGTCCTGTTAGGCCTGGGCTTCAGTCTGTCCTAGCACTGACCTGATGGGCATGAGGTGGTTAGGGAGTTTTTTGTTGAAACAGTGAGAGAAGGCCACTTGTAAACAAAAATAAATAAACTATTTTCTGCTATTCTCAGACACCACTCAATACAACTTTTAAAAAAAAAAGGATTTGTTTCATTTATTTGAAATGTGAGTTAAAGAGAAAGAACCACATGCTGGTTCACTCCCCAAATGGCCGCAATGGCTAGGGCTGGGTCAGACTGAAGCCAGAAGCCAGCAGCTTCATCTGGGTCTCCCACATGGGTGCAAGGGCCAAGCACTCGGGGTATCTTCCACCTGCTTTCCCAGGTATATTATCAGGGAACTGGATTGGAAGTATAGTGGCCAGGACTCGAACTGGTGCCCATGCGTGATGCTGGCTTTGTAGGCAGTGGCTTTCTTTACCTGCTATGCCACAGCACCAGCCTCTCAGAACAACACTTCTGACATCAGATTATGCACTGGGGGGAGGGGTGTTTTCCCGTACGCTTCGCAGTTCTCCAGCAGACCCTGATGGAGTGTTCTGAAATTTAGCTCAGATCTGACACTGCCTACATGAAGAGAGTGTTAGGCCCCAGTCCCACAGACTGCCCGCACTCCAGATGCCAGTCACAAGCAGCGGGTTGTCACTTCTAGTAGGTTCTGACAGACTGACCGTAAAGGGTAGTTCCCACATCTGATTGATTTGCTAGTGTGGCTCATGAAACTTCCATTTACCGTTTATTACAAAAGATGAAGGATACCCCGTGGACAGCCCAGTGAAGCAACACATAGGGCCAGGTAGGTGGGAAAGGTCTGGAGCTTCCGGGCCCTCCCAGGGTTTACCACACTCTCAGCATCTGCACACATTCAGCTACCAGGCATCTCCTTGACCCTGGGCAGCTCCCTTTGTGGAGGCTTTACAGAGGCTCCCTTACATGGCTGTAATTCAGGAAACCATTGGCCTTTCGTGATCAACTCAGCCTTCAATCCCGGGAAGTCAGGGGGTGGGGCTGAAAGCCCTGATCTGCCAATCATGCATGGTCTCACTGGCGACCAGTCCCAGTCCTGATTTCGCCTGGGTGCTGCCAGCCATCAGTCAATGCATTAGCCTCTAAGTGGCACTCAGATCACTGTAGGGGTTCCACAGAGTTAGGTGCTGGGTGCCAGGAACCAGGGGCAGAGACCACGTGCGTCTTTCTCATTCTATTACGATGCCATACCACTCCGTAGAGCTGACTTGAAAAAAGCAGAGGAGAGGAATGCGTTAGAGTGGCGGCTCTCAGAGTGAAGCTGGCCTTAGAACAGCATGGAGGGCTTATTCAGACAGAGTGCTAGCCCCACCTCCAGAGGTTCCGACTCAGCTGGTCTAGGGTGGGGTCCAAGTACTCTGAAAATTCCCCACATGATGTGATGCTGCGGGTCCCAGGGCCACATGGTGAGAACTCATGCGTTAAGGGAAAGAAAGAGGGAGAGCGGAGCCTGCTCTGGATGTGGGCTTGCTTTGGCCTAAGGGCTGATCCTTTACAGCAGAACTGTAACATTTCCTAAAATAATCTGGCTATCGCTTCTGAGGCTTTTGGCTAAGATCAAGTGTAGTGGCTGTTCTTATCAGTTTAATAATTTGGCTGAATAATAATTTAATAACAATATTAACAATTAACAATACTAACAATTAACAAATAATAATTTAATAATTAATAACATGGCAAAAGCAAAAGAAAAAATTAATGTATAAAAATCTTAGTAATTTCATGGAGTAGAATCAGTTGCCTTAAATGGAAGTTGTTTTTGGTTTTGCTTTGTTTCAAATAGCATTTCCTGGTGATACAGCTAAAGTACTACATTGTAGACAATTTGGGAAATTCAGAACAATGTAGACGAATCTGAGCACCTAGAGAAACCCATTCTTTTCATCTTGGTCCATTTGGAAAAAACATTTGTAAAAGGAATTGCCTATTAAGATAGAAACAGAACCTAATGTTCAGTGTCAAGAAGGTCAGTGGCATGAGTCTGGTTTCAGGCTTGTGCTCTGAGGTTGCTGTGTTACAGGAAAAGAGAACTAACTTTGTTGGACGCCTACCATGTGTAGGCCCTTTGCATATATCCCCTCACTGAGTCTTCATGACAACCCTAGAAGGCAGATGTCATCCCGACTTAACAGCCCAGGAGACCGAAAGTCACAGACGCTACAGAGAAAGTGGCAGCATCGTGGTGTCTGGTCCACGTTCATCTGACTCAGTGTCTGTATCGCCCGCAGCAGCAGCTGTCACGGCCTCTGTGGGTAGGTCACCATGGGATTGACTGACTTACCATGAACTCCTTAAAGAGAGGCCATGAGGGGCCTCCAGGAGAGGGACCATGGAGAGGTCACTGTCACTGGAGCAGTAACAGGTGGAATGAGATGAGAAAAGTCCATCTGTAAAGCCACACTGGAATCCCTAGTCCATAGGTACTATGTACCAGGGGACATAGGTACCCAGGCAGGACTGGAGACAAAGCTAGCAGGAATCAGAAATGCGTCCTCTGGAAGAGCTCATAAACAGATGCTCTGAGGGAGAATGGTTTCTCTCAAGAACTGGCAAAATCCAGAAGTGCAGTGCACAGCTCGTGAGCCCTGGACTTGGGCAGGTGCGATCTTTCAGGGTGACTCATGAGTGCAGAGAGTCCAGCAGTTTGGTGACAAGAGGAATGACATGAAGGAGCAGCAGTTCTTAAGGAAAATTCTCTGACTGGGGAAGGGAAGAGTAATTTGGGTTTTTCCTTTTTTTTTTTTTTTAAGAATACAATATTCCAAGCAGATTTATAAGCAAAGGACCAGGGTGAGTAGCAAGTGAAGCACCAAGAAATGAGGTGGTCACTGGTGAGTGATGGAACCGTCAGGAGGGGCATCAGGCCTGCCGTGAAAGAAAGATCTTGCCTCAGAAAGGGAAGGGAAGGTAGCCTGAGCTCTGCCGAGAGAAAGGAAGTCATTAAAATGTGCAGGGTGATTAAGGTGTAGGGAGGAAGCTGGGGACGTTCGCTTCAGCCTGTCTTGATTTCAGTAAATCAAAATGCTAGACACAGAGGGAGCTTCAATCAGACATCAGTGATTCTTAAATTTCTCTCACCACAGAAGCACCTCTCCAACCTGCTCCCACTTGCCAAAGTGAAAAGAGGACCGTAGAGGAGAAAAATGGAGGTCATTAAATTTTACGAATGCTTGGTAAACACTTAGTACTAGTAAACAACCCTCAGTAGGACCTCAAGACGAACGTTTTCAAAATCGGGTCTTATTCTTCCCATGAGAACTAGATAGGCAGCTTTCCTCCCCAGGGAACCTGCTGGCACACCCCACCCTGCAGTCGGCCATAACCACACTGAGAATCTCCGAGCTGTCCCCTCCCAGCCTCCCACACCCGAGGGAAGTGAAGCCTGGAAGACTTTCCCACAGTTACATTCAACTTGGTGGGGGGGTCTCTTCACTGTGCGCAGGGCTAGTTCCTTGTCCTCAAGAAAGATGTTGACAGCTGAAAGTCCACGAGGAGGGGAAGGCATGCGTGGGGATGTTGGGACTGCTGCTGTGGAAGAGGGAATTCGTGTTTGATGGTCAAGGAAGTTCTAGCAGGAGGGCTGCATGCGCTCAGGCATCTGGGGCCAGGCAGTTTCTGATAGTGGTTCCCTAATGCTAAAATGGCAAGAGTTCAAAGGTGCAAGGGATTCTGGGAAACTCCTGGGGATGTCACCAAAATGACTGGCCAGACGTGTCACAAGGGGCCGGTAGTTTCAGGAAAAAGTGAAAGTGCTGTGCAACTGACCATGAGTTAAAAGGAAGGCAGAGGTTAGGTTCTTGAAAGTGGAGGGTGGATGGTAAGAAATGGTACCGAGTTGTGGGCAAGCGAACCTAGAGATCTTCAAGGGCGCCAGTTCTATGTGGTGCTGCATGCAGATGATGCCGGGCTGCAGGGGAGGAGAGAGGCAGGTCTCTGGAGGAGGGTGAGGCATCATTTCTGTCCCAGAATTACAGAATGTGCCCTGGGTCTTACTCAGAGATGAATATGAGTATGTCTTTGGTGGCTTAGTCGCCACATGTGTGCTTTCATCTCCTTCTATGGCATCTAAGGCGGAAGAAGCAATTTATTTTAGCATCAAGAGTCATTACCTAATGACTGTCTATCGTGTGCTGGGCGTTTTGAGTCTATTACTCCATTTAATCTCAGCAACCTGTGGACAAGGATTCTCCCCAGCTCATAGAAGAGGACAGTGGGCTCAGAAATTCACTCAGTGACACACAGCTAGTGCATGCTGGGATTCAAGTGGACGTCCCATCTGATGCTCAAAGCCTGCGTTTAGGGAGACCCATCCCTGAGAACGAGAGTTCTCCAATATTGTTGAAAATGCTCAGCAATCAACTCCGAGTTGATGTCGTTAGAATCAAGGAGGCTACTGAAGCAACTTCTCTTGCCTTGCGTTAGAACAGCTGGAGGAGAGCCTGTGGGAATGAGATCCAGGGATCTGTATTTTTAACAAGCTCCAGACCTGTGACTAAGGCTGTCTTTCCTCCATGGAGGCTCAGAGAGAATGTATTAGGAATCTTGAAGTTTCACTGCTTTCTCTGTTTGCTATTTTTATTGTCTGTCTGACCCCTAGGTGAGCAACCGTTTCCTTGGTAGTTAGGATGTTCTGTGAGACTGTGTCCAGGGACAGGTGGGAAAGAGCTCAGGAGCCACGTCCTCCTCTTTGTCTCATCAGTTCTGGAACAACAAAGAAGGGAAGGCCCTGGAAAAGAGCTTGGTTGAAGGCCAGGAAGGGAGCACTTGGGTCCACTCTGGAGCAGGTAGAAAAGTTCAGAAGGGTGACAGGGAGGCTAGTGGAGGATCTGGAAGAGGCAGTGGTGAGCCATCTGTGCAGGGGGTCCTATTGATGAAAAAGAACCTTTGCAAATAAGGAGGAAGCCCGACTTGCCCTTTTAGTTTTTACCATGTATTCTGTAGCCAAATTATTTTAGGATATGTTACTGTTATTTTAGTCCAAAGAAAGATCACATCAAGAGCAATATCTTCTGTGCCCTCTTTCTCCCCCTGACTCATGGGTTCTCCAAGAGTGGCCTCAGACCGGCAGCAGCACATCACTTGAGAACTTTTCAGAAATACAAATTCTTGGGCCCCACCCTAGACCACATGTCAGAAACTCTGGGGGTGGGGGCGAACAGGTCTCTTTGAGAAATTATACCCATGTGATGAAGCCTTCATAAAGCCTCCCTAAGAACTACAAGGACGTAGGAATAAGCCAAATGGGGGAATGGTACCATCTGAAGAAGCGAGGGTTCAGTTGTAAGGGATGGGGTTCTACCCGGTGGAAACAGGGGTCCCCAGGCCTCAGAGGCAGAGATTAGCCTGGAGGGGTCTTGAACTGTAGGTCTAAGTTGCAGAGAAGGAAACTGAAGCTGTGCCCTGGGCAAGATTTGATGGCTTCATCATGGAAGGAAAGTGTCTAAGGGACTTGGGGTTGTGGCAGAAACAGAATAGGCTCTGGTGTCAGAACCTGGTTCTGCCCTGGTTCTGCCAGTCTCTGACTGTGGCACCTCACACTGCAAAGGTCTCTGAACCTCACTGCCTCGCATGAGCCTCCCATGAAGAAATTCCTCGGAGGACTGGTTAGCTTCTGGCAAGCTAGCAGTTGGGTAAGCGAATTAGTGTATATGTTGATGGTGGCCAGCAGAGGGAGCCCCGCGCAGGGAGGCACATTAAGCCCGCTAACTTGTCTTCAAGGCGGCTAGTGGCTGTCAGTTGGCACAAAGGTGTGGCAGCTGGGGGAGCTGCTGCAGACCTGCCTCTGATTTCCTCCAGGCTGGGCTGTGACTCGCCCTTGGAGCTGGAGCTCCAGACACTTCCGGGGGCTCTGCTGTAGCCACTTCTGCACAGGTGGCCCCTGGGCTGTAGCTGGCCTTGGCCAACCCCCTACCCTGCCTAGCTGGGTCCAGAATGCCTGATTTGTGTCCCTTCCTACTGTGCCAGAGCCCTGCTGTCTTAGGGTTGGCCACAGGGCCTGGGGTACAGAGGAGGCGGTGGGAGTGCAGGGCTGAGGGCCTGTCATTCATAGCACAAGGCAGGTACTTCCTGTGCTTAACCATGCAAGTGCATTTCCTACATGCATGGATAGGCAGAAACCTTGGGAGTCAGGTGGTGCTTGGCCACAGTTACCTCAAAATAGAAATTCATGAACAAAAACAAATAAACACTTTTGTTTTTAATTTGCACTCCCTGTGGGTTGTATACCTCAGAGCAGCTGCACCTAGGGGACAGGAGTGACATGTCTACGGGCCCTTGTACTGCTCTTATGTACTGTTTTATTGGCCATGAAAAGGAACGGTGTTTCCCTTTCTCTTTCCCTGTCCCCACTCCCTTTAGGGAGATTCCCCTTCCTAGGGAAAACCCCAGCACTGAGTATGTTGAGAAGCACAGAAAGAATCCTCTGGAATGCACTTCAGCCTCTGTGCACCGCCTTCCTCCTGCGGTGTTCTGCCGCCAGGGTGGCTTACCAGCTCGAAGCACTCTTGGTAGAGTGGTTCTGCCCGTTGACTAAAGCATCACGCCCTCTCCTCTTCCCCCTTCCCAACCAGCCGGCCCTTAGCTTGCCTGGCTTCGAGAGCCCCAGCCCCTGCCTACAACCTCCTCTAAGCCCTTTGCACCTGCACCTTCTATTTCCAGCCTGTGGCTTCTGCTTCTGTTGGCCTGGGGCCCGAGATGTCATTGTCCGCTGCTCTCCACGCATCTACCTGTGTGTTTTTGGTAACTCTGAGAGTATGCAGGATGATGAAATGTCTTTGAGGCCCAGAAGTCCAGTCTTAGGAGTATACTTTCCTGGGGCTGGGAGTGTCTTACATATAGGCACTTCATTCCAGAGCCTCGCTAGAGCACCAGTTGATCCCTGATGCCCTTAACCCTTAGTCCCATGCAAGATATGTGAGATTGGACCTGGAGGGGAGAAGCTAGCCTCTTGCAAGTAAGCTGGGTGGAGAGAAGTGAGGTGGGAGGTGGGGGACATACCCTGGCTGAGGGTCTGCATTTCTCCTTCTTCCCTGCAGCCCTGGCCCGTCACCGCTACATGAAGCAGGCTCAGGCCCTAGGTCCTCAGATGATGGAAAAACCCCTGTACTGGGGTACGGACAGGAGCTCCCAGGTTTCATCCTATCCAATGCACCCGCTGCTGCAGCGAGGTAAACCTTACCAGAGATTCGGGGTGAGGGAGGGCAGAGGGCAAGGGCAGGAGCATGGGCTGTGTCAGGGTCTCCGTGACGGATGTGGCGGGGCCCTCCCGATGGCAGGTGGGGGCGAGTGGAGTGAGGCCGAGAACCGTGGCTTTTCGATGTCCTGATTTCCAAGGACCATGTCTGGGGCCAGTAGCTCTGCATGTTCTGTCCTTGTTTCCGTTCAGATTTGTCCTTCCGGTCCAGCCTCCCACAGATGCCAATGACCCAGCCCGCGGCCCACCCTTCGGTCACCAACGGCGTCCTGGAGTTCTTGGAGAAGGAGCTGCGGAACTTCCACCCGGCCCAGCCTCTGCCGCCAGACGTCAAAGCCAGACCGGGGCCCCCGCGCAGCCTGCTGTCCTCCCTGGGCTCCGAGGTGGTGGAACGCAGAGTCCTCCAGCTGCCCCCGCTGATCAGAGACGTGCCTTCCTCACGGGGGACCAGCGACTCCTCACACCTGCGGTGGCTCACCCCTGTTCCCTCCAGACCCTGGGATCCGAGGGAGGGGAGTCGGCAGCACCGCTACCCCGACTTCCACCACGAGCTCCAGGACTGGGGTCCAAAGCCCTGGGCGCTGGAGAGAAGGGAGCTGGACTACCCATGCAGCGGAAGGCACCCCGACCCCAGGCTAACCAGATCCCCGGTGCCCTGGTCGGACAGGGACAGCCTCAGCGACCGCCCGTCGTCCAGGGAGACCCGCCGGCGACGCAGCCGCAGCCGCCGGGACCGGGCGAGGCCCCGCAGGCCCAGCCCGCGGGAGAGCAGGAGACGCAGGCCGCGCAGCTACTCCCCTCCGCCGCCCTCGGGCCTCAGCTCCTGGAGCTCTGAGGAGGAGCAGGAACCCCCGAGCTGGGGCGCCCGCAGCCGCCGCCGCCGCCGCCGCTCGCACTCCCCGCCCTGGCCCGAGGAGAAGCCGCCCAGCTACCGCTCGCTGGATGTCATTCCAGGCAAGAATGGCAGGAAAAAAGGGAGTGTGGAGAGGCGCTCGGTGAGCCTGGGCTTCCCGCCGAGGGGCGGGTGTGGGCAGAGCGGACCCTCCCGGTCTGAGACAAAGCTCCCCGCCCGCGGCAAAGGGGCCGAGTGAGCGCAGGCTGCTGCTGGGGGCTGGGTGCTTGCAAAGGGGAAATCAGGCGGCTGGGAGTCGTGGAGCCGAGGCTGGAGGGCAGCCCTTCAGCTAAGCCTTGCTCGCCTTAGCTACCCATTTCCATACTCAAAATTAGAACTGGCGCCCGGCCTGATGGGGACGAGTCAGCGTGCAAAGCCCCCGGTGCGTGTGAGGATGGGGCCCTCGGAGTTAGCCCTGCAAAGAATCACTGAGGTGATGCAAACCAGCCCGTGAGACCTGCAGGATTCTGTGACAGGCAGGGGGCTAGCAGGTGCTAGGCCGCCAAGGGGACACCAGAGGGAGCCCTTGGGGACTCTGGATGTGAACCTTTCTTCTTCCTTCTTAAAAAAGATTTATTTATTTATCCGAAAGGCAGGGTTACAGAACGAGGGAGGTCTTCCATCTGCTGGTTCACTCCCCAAATGGCTGCAATGGCCAGGGTCTGGCCAGGCTGAAGCCAGGAGCCTCAGCTGGGTCTCCACAGCTTTCCCAGGCCATTAGCACGGAGCTGGATTGGAAGAAGAGCTGCTGGGACATGAGCCAGGGCCCATATGGGATGCTGGCTGTGCAGGTGGTGGCTTAACCTGTGTCACGCCAGCCCCATTTTTTGTTTTAAAGAAGTAACTTTTCAAAGATTGTTTTATAAGCAATACACCCAAATGCCAGTGTTCCTTTAATGTCATTTGGCAAAGGTCCTGCTACCACTGTCCCAAAACGTCGCTGAGTGCCTCAGAGCCACCTCGGAGGCTCCCCATCAAAATCTTTCCTCTGACCAGCATCCTTTGGCTTCTGCTGAAATGAGTCAAAGGCTCTTCCGTCAGCAGGCCGTGAGGGAAGTCCCCAGGGTGGGAGGATACCAAAAGAAGAAGAATTGCCGGCTCTCCTGGGCTTTGAATGCCACAACTTCCATTTGGAAGTGGGCGAGCCACTGCGATTTTCAGAAGCCAGTCCCAGATGGGGGCGGAGAGAGCAGGCCCCTTAGAGAGCCTGCCCAGAGCAGAAGTTGGGGAAGCCGCGTGTGAGGCAGGCAGTGACCACCAGGGGGCCCTCGCTCACATTCTTCACGGTCCTCCCTGTGCTGAGACAAAGGTCAGCAATAGTACAGGGCTGGGTGGCCCTGAGCTGCGGCCCCTTCTGCACAATGTCATGTAATGGTCACAGCCCTGTGCAGTTTATACGGTATTTTCATTAGATGACATACTGTTTCTTCTGTAATACCAGTAAGAAGGAAAACGCACAACCAGAGCTGGGGCAACTGCAGTTACTTTACTCATACAGAGACTAAACCGCATCTCTTCATTTGAACGACAGAAAAAAAAAATTTTAAGTTCAGTTTTTGGCCTAAAATCTAAACCCTATTTTCTTCTAAGTTGAATTTTTTCTTTATTTTACTTAAGTCTACAGCTTCCGGTAAGAGACGGAAGCACAAAAGGAGCACCGGTTATGTTCTAGACACTGGAGTGAGCCCTCTCCGAGTCCTGTTTCATTTAAGCCTCACAACAACCATGAGGTTCTGAGAGGTTGAGTTATATGCCCAAGGCCACACAGCCAATAGGGAGGGAGCACAGTTTGAAAATAACCTCTGACTCTCAAGTGTGTGCCTTTTTCCATAACTCATGCTGCCTCCTTGGAGAAAAGTGTTGAGGCTGGCTGCGTTATGGTGTAGTGAGTTAAGCTACTGCCTACATGGGCACTGGTTCCTGTCGAAGCTGCTCCATTTCCAATCCAACTCCCTGTTAACACATCTGGGAAAGCTACAGAAGATGGCCAAAGTCCCTGATGAGAGATCGGATGAAGTTCCTGGCTCCTGGCTTCAGCCTGGCCCAGCCTTGGCTATTGTGGCCATTTGGGGAGTGAACCAGCAAATAGAAGATCCCTTTCTGTGTGTATGTGTGTATCTCTCTCCTTCCCTACAAAACTCTGCCTTTCAAATAAATAAGTCTTTAAAAAAGAGGGAGAATATAGTATCCTTGGATCAGTGATGCTTTCTATCACTTATTTCTTCCTCATTTTCTGAAACTATTAATTTTTTTTTATCATCAAGGTTTACACAGTAGCACTTCTACCACACACAAACAGTATTTTCAGTTATAAACTCACTCCTGAGATGCAAAGATTTGTTCCCAGTCACTTGAAAAGCCTCCATTGTTTTGGGCCCCTTATCTCCCAAAGAGTTATCACTTTACCTCAAGCGAGTTCAACTTGCCACCTCTGTTCTAATGCTGACCAGAAGCCCAGGCTCAAAGCTTGATTCTGCAGATTACTTTGAGGGATGCAGTGTTTTTTGTTTTGTTTGTAGCTGGAAGTTTGAATGCCTTTCACGGGACAAAATGTCTCCAGTGTCACAGTCCTCCCCTTCCCACCTCTCCTCGGTGAAGCTGGGTGAGTCCACACTAGTTAGCTTTCCAGTGTCTGAGGTCAGTGCTGCTTGTGGCTAAGTTCAAGCATTATGGCACAAGTTGGCCACTAGATGGAGATCTTCCATCACAGATCTTTGAAGTTTCTGCGTTCCTAAGATCCTATATCGGGCCTTCCACATCAGAACTGTAGCACACTTTACTTTTTTTATTTTCCCCTAGAAATTCTATTAAAAAGGATTTCCTAGGTATTCAAAGGAATATGAATGAAGCAAAAGTGTTTTGGTTTACCTGGAAACTTCTCCCTCACACGCAGTGTATAACCCGTAGACAGTAACAAAGGCTGACCTCATGGGCGCCTGAACTGGGTAAGAAGCTTCTCTGCACGGTGCCCAGGAGAAAATGGAAGTTATGCTGAGTTACACTGAGGGAACCCCTCCCCCGCCAGCGCCACAGCTAGGGTTCCAGCTGAGAGCCTCGCACTTCATAGTGGTGGTCTTTTCACTCCTCTGGAAGCACAACCACAGAAATAGAGAAGCAGAGCTTCCAGCTGCAGCCCCAGGAGTGGCCCCTGTGCTTCTGGCCTCCCGCAAACCACGTATCTTTCTTTCCAGTCTTTCCCTAACAGGCCGGGCTTGCCAAGACGGTTCTGGCTTGTCCCAGACTTGGCCTGTGAACTACTGTGTTCCTTTCTCTCCAAGTTAACTCAGATTTCTTGTAGCGAATTCTGGCTTTTTCATTTTTTCCCCATGACTTTTTGATTTAACAATTTTTTTTTAAATCTTTCAACAAAATGTCCACACCATGTTCAGTGTTACTTCAGTGAGCACTGGACACTCCCCTGGACACTTTTGTGTCAGAGAACATTCAGAAACCGCGTCCCCTAATACCTACTTTTCTGATAAAGTGGAAACAGAGATTTTCAAGCAACAGTGTGAATACTTACACACAGACGATGGACTCCACACAGTATGTTAAGGAGACGGGAAGATACCTCATCTTCCTATTCCGAGTAAGACGAGGAAGCTCACCTTTAGAACCATTCTAGATATCCCATGCTGGAACAATGCCCTTCAACACATGGTTAGGGAAACAGAAATGTGAACCACAGTCCTGACCCTTGAACGGGTGGGACAAGTCGGAACACCAAGTGGAGTAACTTCTGGAGAAAGGCTACTGCGTTAGGTCAGGAAGAATCAGTGATCTTTGAAGACTGAGTTCAGAGAAATACTAAGGTGCGGAGTGAATCTCTTTAGAAAAGGGCTGGGAAGAACTAGATCAGGAGAGCAGGTGCTGTCTTCGTGAAGGGCTGGCAGAAAGATGGACAAACGAGCATGGGGCTCTTGTTTAGTGCACGGGAGACTTAACAGCTGTTAAGAAAAAAAACAGAGCCAGAGGCAGAGTCAATAAGACTAGGAAATTTTCAGAACTTAAAGGCGTTTGAAGGGGACTAGCGAGAGGTGGGAGAGAAAGGAAGCAGAGGCCTTGAGGAAGAGGCTGGCTTTGTGAAGAGTCAGGAATTCTGCCTTAGGTTCGGATCTCCCCTCCCAGCAGCCGCCACTCGCTCGGGACCTGGGTATCTTTCGCGTCGACACTGGATTCCGGCTGACGGGGTTTGTTTATGTGTTTGTGTGTGTGTGTGTTCTGTTCCTCAGGAGAGAGAGAGCTCCCATAGCGGAAGGAGTGTGGTCATTTAGTCACCGCTGTTTCTGCCGCTCCTTCCCGGCTCGCCTGGACCTCGACTTCCGGCTGGCGCGAGGTTACGCTGCAAGCGCGCACCTAAAGGTGTGGCTCAGATCCTGCACATCAAACTGAACAGGTTTTAAAGCGAGAGTTTGCGGAATTCATGGCCGTAGTTCTAGCCTTGGTTCACGCTTTCTGCATATAGTCTGACTCGTAGTGGACCTTAACTGGGAGATGATCCCTCAGGAACTTGTTAGCTTGAGGCTTCAGCTGAGTTCTGTGGCTCTGAACCACGGAACTCAAAGCGAGAACTCAGAAGTCGTGAAGAAGAGACCAGACATGTTCTCCTGCAACAGGACACCTGTGGGGTGTCCTAGGAAAATTCCCATGGGAATATGTCCGCCTCTTGGATATCTTGAGCATCCTTCCATGTTGGGAGTCCACCCTGCTGCCTCTGTGCCAAGTTCTGATGGCTCCTGAGGCTCCCGTCAGAGATGGCCCAGGAATACCCCAGCCGTGTGACCTGGTAGGAGCTATTTATTCTAAGTGAGGGGAATCAAGAAGCAGTGTTACACCAGCCTTATTCTTGTCCTTCGTCTTCCTCCTGCTCTTTCCCCCTTCATCTAACATATTTTCTTAAGTATTCATTTAACAAAATCACTTTAAATGCTTCTTGGGAGCCCCACAGTGTATACTTAAGTAAGAAATAAAAGGTACTGGGCATATTTGCTCCTCTACTCAGGTGCACTTGTTTGTATGAAGCCTTATTGGTCACTAAAGCTCAGAGAAGGGCCAGCCCAAGCTGGGTGGTTCTGGGATCACCATTCTCCTGGCACTGCTCAGCCTTTCAGAGCCGAGATTTCCCAAGCAGATGCGTGCAGGCAGGAGTCCAGGAGTAAAGGGCTGGGCTGTCTGTGTAACAGGCTCTTTCACCCCTCCTATTTGCTCCAGCCCCTTTGGCGGCTGCATGAATCCATATACACTAGAGGTAGACCCCGCCTGAGCAGAGATTGTGTGTGTATATGTCCTTCAACAGTTTCCTTATGTGTATGGCCTAAAGATCAAGTTCAATCTTATTATATCAACACATGCCTCTCCCCCCCCCCCCAGCCTTAATAATTTAATTACATGTGGGAAAAACAGGCCAGTGCCTGCACTGGGCAAACGTTTCTTTGGGATTTTTGATACCCTCAGATAAGCAGCCCTAAGTGAGCAAAATGGGAAAAGAAAATGACTCCAACAGAAAATGTAGGCATGGCATTCAGTAGGTGAGGGGCTGCTGGCCCGGACAAGATGGCATAGTTCCATCCTTCCCAGCGCCTCCCTGCTAAGTACAGCTTTATACGTCCTGGGAATAGCACAAGAAACAGCCAGAGGGGGTCTCTGCAGGGTGCTGAGCTGGAGGGGAGCGCCAGCAGAGCAGCACAGAAGTGAGCATCCCCCAAACCAACAGAAGGTGTTTCCTGCCTTCCACCTAGCAACCGAAGGAAGCCAGGTCGCTCATTCTCCTCCCTGGATCTGACAGAGTCTCTCTAGCAACCTCAGGCAAGGGGACCACTTGCAAATAAATGACCAGGGGAAGCACTTTTATTCCCAGCTAGGCCAAAGAGTCCTTTTATTTTCTGGCGAGAGATGCTAAAATGCAAAAGAGGAACAAGGAAGAGGGACCAAGGTAAATTCAGTGGCTCAGTTGAGGAAGCCATATTAACTGTAGAGACACGAACCTCTTCTCCCCTGCCCAGAGATGCTAGGGCTGAATGACGAAACCAGAAACCAGGAAAAAGCACCTGTCACAGCAGCCAGCTGATATTCAAAACAATGATATTTAAAGGTGGGGAAGCCAAAGGAACCTAAACAGAAGTGAGGTCTCCACACTTCATCTGAAGTAGTAACTGTTGGCACATTGTTTTAAGTAGCATGTATAACACCCAGAGTAACCATTGTGTCTCTTTAAAGAGACAAACTCAAAAGTGCTATAGATAAATCAAAATGGAGTCCTACAACACATGCAAGTGAACTGCAGAAAGCAAGAAAAACAGAAATGAAAACCAGAGGTAACAAATAGAAAATAATAAAATAACTGATGAACATGCTAACATGTCACTAATTACTGTACATTTGCACGGTCTAAATATACCAATCAAAAGGTTAGAGATTGGGGGCAGGCATTTGGCATAGCCGTTAAGACACCACTTGGGAGACTTGCATCCCATGTTGAAGTGTCTGAGTTAGAGTCCCAGCTCCACTCGCAATCGCAATTCCAAATTCCTGCTAATGTCTACCCTGGGAGGCAGCAGTGTTGGCTCAAGTAACTGGGCCCCCACCACCCAGACTGAGTTCCTGGCTTCAGCCTGGTCCAGCTGCAAACGTAGGCATTTGGATAATGACCTACTTGCTGGGAGATTGCTGTCTGTCTCATTGTCTCTCTAATAAATAAATAAATAAATAAAGTTTTTTTTTTTTAAGTGAAGGAGTGGAATTTGAAAAAAATAATAAGCCCAAGTCCTTGGGCTCCTGCACCCATGTGGGAGACCCAGATGGAGTTCCAGGCTTCTGACTTCAGCCGGGCCCAGTCCTGCCATTGCAGTCATTTGGGGAGTGAATCAGTGGATGGAAGATCTCTTTCTCTCTGTCTCTCCTTCTCTGTCACTCCACCCTTCAAATTAATAAATAAATCTTTTAAAAATAAAATAGAGGCCGGTGCCCTAGTGTAGAGGGTAAGGCTGCCTCCTGCAGTTCCAGCATCCCATATGGGCACTGGTTCAAGTCCCAGCTGCTCTGCTTCTGATCCAGCTCTCTGCTATGGCCTGGGAAAGCAGTAGAAGATGGCCCAAGTGCTTGGGCCCCCGCACACACGTGGGAGACCCGGAAGAGGCTCCTACCTCCTGAGTTCGGATTGGTGCAGCTCTGGCTGCTGTGGCTATCTGGGGAGTGAAACAGCATATGGAAGACCCCTCTCTTTCTCTGTCTCTCTCTCTCTGCCTCTGCCTCTCTGTAACTCTGCCTTTCAAATAAATAAATCTTTAAAAAAATAAAATAAAATGTGTTCATATGAACTCTTATTTTTTGGTTGAAAATTTCTTTGTTCAACTTTCCCAGAAGTAAAGGAAATGAGGTGAAGCTATAGGAATTGTAAAATTCTGAATCCTTATTTCAAGAGATTTGATTTCTTAAAGGAGCCCTCCAAGGTTATGGAAAAAAAAAAGTGATTGAGCAGTTTGAGCCACTGTGCTTTAAAACTACAGGTTTCAAATAGATGTCCCAGTATGAAAATGTGAATGCTAGCATACTTTTTTTTTTTTTTTTTTTTTTTTGACAGGCAGAGTGGACAGTGAGAGAGAGAGACAGAGAGAAAGGTCTTCCTTTTGCCGTTGGTTCACCCTCCAATGGCCAGCGCGGCCGGCGCGCTGCAGCTGGCACACCGTGCTGATCCGATGGCAGGAGCCAGGTACTTTTCCTGGTCTCCCATGGGGTGCAGGGCCCAAGTAGTTGGGCCATGGGCAACCGGGACAGAATCCGGCGCCCCGACTGGGACTAGAACCCCATGTGCCGGTGCCGCAAGGCAGAGGATTAGCCTAGTGAGCCGCGGCGCTGGCCAAGCATACTTTCATACTCACTATATCACAGCACCTCACCCTCCGACTTCATTTTGCTGTTAAAATTTAGACAGCCTAAATAAGATAATTTTCACTTAAGGTTATTTTCCAGCTTCTGCAGAAGGGAAATGAAGAATTCTGATGGGCATCTTAAACATCCAAACCTGTTCTGATCTCCTATAAATCTGTATTGAAATAGCTGCACTTTCCTTGTGGGTGTTTTCCCGGAGTTCATTTGGGTGAATTTGAACTTTGCCTGCATCAAGACCTGGACCAGCCACACCTTCAGACTTCCTGTAATTCCCTCAAGCCTATTTCACAATTCTTGACAAACATCAAGGTTTACGTTTCAGAAAAGTCATCAGACAGCTTGACAACAGGGAGTCTTGATTTCCTTGCCTTAAAAAGAAGGAAAGTAAGCAGATGAATAGTGGTTAAAGACAGAGCAATGTCAAGTTTTATATTACTAGAAAACTCATCTGAATTAGTTGGTATATACAAACTTTCTTTAGACAGGGAGTTCATAAACATACTGTAACCCTTATGTCTTATTACCAGGAATAAAAAATGTGATCTACAACATAGTGTGTAGGACCTTTAAGACCTGTTGCCAGGGGCCAGCACTGTAGCATAGCGACCTGTAGCATAAAGACCTGTTACTGAATTTGTTCTGTTTCCTTTCAATTAAAGTGGATTTTCTTCTTACAGGGAGAAGTTTCAGCCCCACATAACTTTCACAAAAAGTTCTCCTTCTGGCAATGTTCTCTGGATGTGCTCAGGTTTATGAAAACTGTCAGTAACACTGAAAGTTAACTGCATCTTAGGAAGAGTTTTTCCTCAGCATGTTGTAGCAATAACGCAATTCTCTTTTGGTATGGGATGTTGCTCTGGGGAGAAAACTGAAGACAGTCTTGAGTTTTGCCCTTTCTTATCTGTAGACCAGTGTTTCTTTTAAAAAAATTATTTATTTCATTTAAGATCTACAAATTTCATGTATTTTATATGTACAGATTCAGGAACACCGTGATATTTCCCAACCTACTCGCCCTCCTGCCCACAATCCCACCCTTCTTCCTGCCTCTCCTATTCACACTCTTAATTTTTACAAAGATCTAGTTTCAGTTTACTTTATACTCATAAGATTAACCCTACAGCAAGTAAAGAGTTAAACAAATAGTACAAAGAAAAAACAAACAACGTGTGGCCCATCAGTGTCATCTGGGCTTCTGTTAAGTTCAAATTCTCAGGCCCCAATTTCTGGCTATTGCCTTAGGAATTCTGAGTATATGGTTCAGTTATTTGTTTTAACAACCCACCCAGATGCCTCTCCTGCACACTGCAGTTTGACAAATTGATTAGATGTTTATCTTTTCTGCCTGAAATGTTTGAACATGTCTTGCCTTGAAATTTAGTAAGTTAACTCAGGAGGGAATTGAGAGCTCAAAATTTTCTTTCATTGCACTCTCTGGCTGGTTGAGGATGCAGAGCAAACAAGTAAGTCACTTGGCTGTTTGACTAGACGACCATAAATCTTAGGGTAGTTTTCATTTATGCCTGTTGTCCCAGCATATTTATTATTACTGCCTCCTTTCACTCAAAACTGTCCTAGTTTGAGCGATAGATTACTTCTATGGCAACCTACTTATAATCAATTCAAAATATCTACGATTGATCAAGGTGCTGTATGGACTTTGTATAAAGTCCTAATAAGAATCAGAGTAGAAGCCCATGCAGTTGCTGCTGTTGTTGTTGTTATTATTAAAGGTTTATTTATTTGAAAGGAAGAGTGATGGAAATCTTCCATTCCCTGGTTCACTGGGCTGGGCCAGTCTGAAGCCAGGAGCCTGGAACTCCATCTAGGTCTACAACATGGTTGGCAAGGGCCCAAGTCCTTGATCCATCATCTGCTATTTTCCCAGCATATTAGCAAGGAAATGGATCAGAAGCAGAGCAACCAGGACTTGAACTAGCCTACAATATGGGATGCCAGCCTTGCAAGCAGTGGCTGAAGCTACTGTGCCACAATGCTGGTCCACCCACAGGGTTTTGAAACAAAATCATACCTGCTTTGAAAACTAATTATCCTCATTTTGAGCATCAGCTGCTGCCTTGCTCTTGGGCTGTGATAGAAACTTAACCCC